GCGATCTGTCACTCCACATTAAACAGCGCCAAAACGGCATTTATTCTAATACTGCAATACATTGGACAGAATTTGAAATCTGATACTTTGTTTCATATTAAAAGTACCAAAGCACAATGCTTATAAGAGATATATTAGATGGGAAGTGCCCTTCAACGTTCCGTCCATTAACTGAAAACAGGCTAGAATAATCGATTCTTGGGATTTAAGAATCAATATCGTTCCATAAAAATGAGAATCGATTATTATCGAGATATCGATATGTTTTACCCAGCCATGAAAGTTCTCTCGCCATTTATTCACTCTGGTTTTTGGTTTAATCTAGTGTTTGTGTTCTCCTCTAAGTGAGACGGTTGGTATCTTTGTCCGATCAGCACAATCCTTCACGCAAAGGACAAAAGTTCTTCATAACGCAATAGATGCCATGTGGAGAAGCGTATGGTTTCAGCACGGCACTCCCAGCGCGCTGATTGAGAGAATATGAGTGTTATGACTGAATCCAGCCGGGACGTATCTGCTCATCAAAGACTAAAACCACATGCTTTCTTTTTTGAGACTTTGAATAGCGAGGGAAACGTCCTGCCCAGTGTTTGTGCTTCGTAATTTATTACTCGATTGTTTGACATTCTGTGTTGATTTGAGTGTGAGTTTAATCCTGTTTTTTGGCACAAAGGTGCAGCAAGAAGTAGGATTTGATCTGAAGTTTGAGGAGGCCTGTCACCGGCCACAGTTTCATTTACTGAGTACCTGAAACTGAGATTAAGTGAGATATTTATAACAGCAGAACTTGTGTTAAAAATACAGAGAAATGCAAAGAGTTTTCATGAATAGGAAAGAAAAATCATCATGTGCAGCGAAGAAAATGTCAGCCTCTTGACAACATTCAGCAGACTTCCTTTGACTCATCATCGAGGCCAAACAGCTGATTGAAAATGTTCAATGCAAGGAGCAAAATACTGTAGAAAGCAATAAAGTTTTTGCTAAATGAACACTAAGAGAAATCCATAGGAAATTTTAACTTGTAAAATTATATAATTTTCCACAGCATTTCTTGATTTTTATATCACATATTGAAAATATTAAATATGGCCGAGCCGATATTTTGTACTCTAAGGCTTTTGAAATGCAGACTAAATTCAAATAACCAGAGATATGCATATGAGTGAGAACTAGTAATAATTCATGTTTTTTTTGTCATGTTTTCACATTTGTGGATGTTTTTGCCTGGCATTTTACATGCTTTAAAATTATTTATGGTAAATACTGTTGTTTACAGTCCAGGGATTCCTAAACGTTTTTTTTGTCAGCTGAATCCTTTGACCTTAAATGTTTACTTTCATATTTATAAGCTTTTTTTTTTTTTAAGTTTCTGTTTATGTATTTGCTTTGAAATGACTATTTTGACTCATCATTTTGACTGATTGAAAATGTTCAATGCAAGAATCAC